GGTAACGGGGGCGCGCGGCCGGGGGCCGGCTGGGCCGGAAGAGGGCTCGGGGCCGGCGCTGCGGCGGGGAGGGGGTCGGTTGAGCTTGGGGCAGCGGAGGTTGGCGCGGGCCTTTGTGGGAGGGGGCCGAGGGCGCTGGGCCGGGTCTGTGGGGAGGGAGCGGGGCGGGCCTAGTTGGGGGCGAGGACTGGGTTTGGATGTGGAGCAGGAGCGGCTGTGGCTCTGGGACCCGCGGGGATTCTAGCCGGGGCCGCCCCGGGGCCTAGACAGGTGCGTTGGGCTGGGGCTGCGGGCTTCGCCTCGGGCGTTCTTCACAGCGCTGTGCGAGGGCTCCTACGAACAGAGGCCTGGGCTTTCCCGTCGCGCCACGGGCAGCAGCGGCACAGCTCGGGTCGGGCCCGAGGGTGATGGGCAGCGAGCCCCGCGAGCCCCGGCTGCCTGGGAGAGCGAGGGGCGGCGCGAGGCCGGGGGCGGGGCGGAGCGGGTGGGGCCGAGCTTGGGCTGCCGGCGAGGCTGCGTCTCTGGAGACGGGAGGTTGACAACCATTGCCCTTCTTCCAACCCGAGACCCTCATGCCATCTAACTCCTGTCTCTCTCCGCAGTGGCATCTTTCTTACTTTGTCCGTTCTCCGGGCCCGCGATCTGCTTTCCGGAGCCATGTCAGAAGGAGTGGACTTGATTGATATATACGCCGACGAGGAGTTCAATCAGGTGAGGGGTCATCGGGAGCATTGGGATTTTCCTGGATCAGCCGAGGAATCACTTCCAGCGTACTTGCGGTGGTTCCAAGCTGTGCTAGTCCTTGAGGATTTGCTAGGCCTGCACACGCCTCATTGGGTCTAAAATTGTTCCTCTAGCAGATTTTCAAGACTTCTCACCATTCCGCTTTATGTTACTGTAAGCCTCCAGGCTCAATTGTAAAGGCTTTGATTTAAGAGCCAATAAAAATCAGGTTTAATAGAGTGGTGAAACAACCTGTGGAGCTCGCTGCCCCAGGAAGCCAGAGTTGGATGTTTGTCTATTCAAAAACTAACCACACTTAAAAATCAGAACTATGTTGGCTGTAATATTCATGAGGACAATGTCGATACCTGTTGCTTTGCAATTCTCTCAAACTGCAGCTGGAAAAATGTAGTCAGTCCCCTCTCCCATAAAGTAGTGCAAAGTCACATTGTAAAAGATACTTTAACATTGAATTTTAGCTCCATTACGATTGTTTTAAGTCCATAGGCCTTTTGGTATAATACATTTTATTGATGAATCTAATTGGGCGTTGCGGGGAGAGGTAAAGGTTTTGGACAAACCAGTTATAGACCCACAAAGCAGGTACAGAGCCACTCACATACCCTAAGTTGGATTTGTTGGTCCTTTTGTGTTATGTCAAGGAACATTATACAGTGATTTCCCTTGAAACACTAATCTTATATACAATTCGATTCTGAGCTCTTGAGGTCAAAACTCAAGAATGTTCCAAAAGTCTCTATTGAAAAATTTTTTTTATTTATTGAACTTTTTCTTTTATTAAATTTTTTGTTGGGGGAACAGCCATGGTCATTGGTTGCACATTCCTTTCATGCTACAATGGCATAGTTGACTGTTAGGGAGGGTGCAGCTCACAGTGGCCCATGCGGGGATCGAACCGGCAACCTTGGTGTTATCAGTACCACACTAACCAACTGACCTAACCGGTCACCCCTATTTAAAACACTAATATCTTGCCTGGATTGTTTTCAACACCATTTTACTTAAGTAACGTGGTTTTTCCCATTGGCATCTTTTAATGGGTACCCATAAGGACCTGGAAAGAGGATAAAAAGAATAGTGAAGAAAAGTGCTGTTTGGACCTTGACTTTGATCTGAGGCAACAGAAGAGGTTGAAATACATGCAATTTTTTTTCACTTGGCGTAAGTTTACATTAAAAAAGATTTTTAATACATTATGCCTTTTTAACATGGAGTTTTTAACACACAGAAATAGCGAGAATAGTGTCATGACCTTATACCCGTTCTACAGCTTCACCAGTTATACTTTTTAATAGTCATTTTCCTGTGTCTCTTTAGGTAAACTGGAGCCACCTACATGTGGCTGCTGATTGGTTTAAAAAGATGAAGTTTTTTAATTTCAAGCAAGTCAAATAATCACTTATGGATAAAAAGAAAGGTTTAGTATATTAATTTAGTTACAAACCATTGCTTTCCTGAGTTTTCCATGTTACTTTGAATCAAACTTTTACTACTTTTAACAAGCTATGGTTTGTTTTTTAAATACAAGATAGCGAGGAAAGAGAAAGGCTCCCTTTATGGAGGAGTTAGAGCGGAGCTGGCTCTCTTCCGTGGGTTGATAACAGTGCTGCCGACTCCCTCTGGGAAACGGGCAGAACAGGGTCCTTGACCACAGGTCTAGCTACATTTGGCCTGAGAAAATGAGGTTTCATAATTTCTTAAGCACTGTAAGTTGTAGGTCATCGACAAGACACAGGTCTTGTCCAGTGGTCACTGCTTTTGTCAGTAGAAATCATTGGCCTCAATAGTTTGTGTTCTCTGGTCACTTTTGGTAAAAAGGACTTTTTAAAGGTAGGCCAACGATGGTGTGAGAGAAATAGTAGACATTTATACCAAACAATAGTTGATACTTGGCAGGTTGAAGAAGTGTAGATTTTGAATGTCATGTCTTGTGGAAGATCGAAGTGGGTGCTTTTTTCTCCCATAAGTAAGTTAATTTTTGGCAAACCTGGTTTTAATGTAATTTGGAGGCTGCTAAAGAAATAAAAACTCTGTCTGGCTAGGATTGTTAGAAGCAGACTTAGACTGAAGGCAACGTGCAGATAGTGTTTCAGAATGTTTTAAGAATGTTATTGATTCACCCCAGGCTTCCCCATGCACAAAAACTGTCACATGTACTTTGCTCCCCAGGGGAAATCAACACAGTTCCTAGATGGAACCCTATGGTGCTGACTCCCTGATCTCTTACAGCATGTGCTGCAAAAGCCTCTTTTGCACAACTACTTTACTTCTGTGACATAGGGAGTCTTGAGACTCTCAGCTGCTCTGTTGGGCTGGGGAAAACTCTGGAAAAGTAACTGAGAGCTGCCTCTCTCCTGAATGTTTTGTCTCTGTTCCTTGTGTGAAGATAGATAGGTGCTTTGCACAGTATGTCCAGTTCTCGTCCTTAACTTCCATCAACAATTTTTTCTTTTTTAAATTAAAGTTTATTGGGGTGATAATTGTTAGCAAAGTTACATAGATTTTAAGGTTTACGATTCTGTAATACATCATCTATATATCACATTGTGTGTTCACCACCCAGAGTCATTTCTCTTCCATCAACCAATATTTATTGAGCTACTTCTGTTTGTTAGGCACCATGTTGAGACTAGTGAGGTAAAAGGGAAGAAAAACAAAAAACGGGAATCCCTGTGCTCAAAAGAGATGGTTTTCCTGGTGGTTGAGGGCAGTGAACAGTGACAGGGAAGACGGGTGTGAGGTGACAACTGTGGAAATGTTAGTTATAAAGCCAAAAATGGTTAGCTTTGGTTATAATTAAAAGACACTGGTATCAAGTGGGTTGCTTTGAGAAAAAGAAATCCTAGGCTTTATTGTTCCCCTCAGATATGAGGGAAAGGGCTGGAATGTAGGAACATTAAGCATACAGGTGAGGAAGTTCTTATTAAATTTAAAATTCTGCAGTTTTTTTTTGTTAACCAAGAAGCTTCATGAGACAATAACAGTTCTCCCTATACTATTAAACAAAAAATTCTTCCTGAGATATTCATACAGTATTAAATACATATTTCCTTTTTAATCTCCCTGGAGTGTAACCTACAGTACACGTAAAACATTGTATTATTCACTTAATTTATAGAATTAGGTTTTGCTTTAACCTAATTCATCACTGCATAAATCACCAGCTTATTTGGTTAATCAGAAAAACCTCAGGTCCTATCTGTTTTTCTCTTTTATTAGTTGAAGAAATAAAATGAATTGGTGGTATTAGCAGATTTTAATCCAAATACAATACGTTGTTTCTTCAGTAGAGTCCTCAGCAGGCCTTCCCTGTGCATCAGAGTAGTTCCCACCAATGACTTAGAACTGAGGCTCTGTGGCCCAGAGACACCATTTGAATCTTGTGACAATTTTGAACTCATTGGATCCTTTTGTGTTTTTTTAAAGTGGTAAGGTAATCTATACAACAGGGTCTTCCAGGATTGAGTCTGTCATTCTCTTAGGTACCCTGAAAGAGCATATTGTTTAGACTTACAGTGTGGGGGATTTCCTGCTGATATATTTGTTTGCGAGCTGTCCAAATTTGCATGTTAGTTTACTACCCAATTATTAGTAGTAACTTTTGTACAACTTTTAGACACACATCTCTGAATCACAGATATACTGCATGGAAGGAATCCCAATTTGCTTCCACTGACTCTCCAAGGTGGTATATTTCCTTATTCCTTTTAAGTTCCACTTCAAAATTCTTGATTTAAAAAACACATAAACAAACAAAAAAAGCCTGGTGTGAAGCAGGATTAAAGCACTGGAGAGTATCAAGTGGTTTCTAAGCCGTTTCTTTATCTTGAACCACGAAGGCAAATCAGCTAATACACGAATAAATAAGTGATTTATCTAGAGTTGGGGTTGTTTGAAACGTTGGGGCTGTGAAATTTTACACACAAAATGTCAAGTTATTAACCCTAGCTGTCTTCACCTTATTCAATTTATTAGCTACCCTGCACTCTGCAGTGTTCGCTTCTCTC